TATATAAATATCTAGATTGCATAAACAATGTGTTGTTTTCAACTAGTGTCCATACTCTCTTCATTTTGTGTTGTGTGTGGTGAATTTTCTGTGCACATTTGTAGATTCTTTACTGTTTTTCATCATGACATTATGAGTCAGCCTAAAAAATAAAAGCCAATAAGCATTCTGAATTTATCTTCTCAACGTTGAGAAGTTGTTAAAATATGCACTTAGCTCCTTCTTTTCATTTTGGGAAAACCATTCCAAATAAAAGCTAAAAGTTGTTTTGGAGGTAAATTGTAGCACTGATCACAGTTTAGTTTAAACAGATGGATAAGAACAGGTAGGTGACCTGGTAGTGCAGTCTTTGCCAATTGTACATTTGTAAGTGTTTTGTACAGTCCATAGTGTGCCAAAAAATAATGCTTTACTGCTTTCTTTGGCAAATCATTCCACGGTCTCTTTTATTCTTTTCCTAAAATTCTGTTTGTGTTTTCCTTACTATAATGTTGGACTAATAGAATAAAATTAATCTAATTTAATATAGCTCAAGCTATACAAATCTGATTATCTGCCATAGACACCCACATAATTAATCTTTTTAAATAAAAGTTTTAATATTTCATGAGCACCTCTTGCGTAATGGAAGAAATTTTTGTAGAGCATTTACTTAGCAGCTTATTCTTCAGTATGTTGAATTTTCTAGGTAAATCTAATCGCAGCATTCCCTTTTGATCTGGCCACTATTTTCTAGTAGCTGGTTAGTTGTAGCTGTTGCTAGTTCTTGTGTTGCTGTTAGGATGAAATTCTTAAGAGGTGACTGTAGCAGCAATAACATTTCAATCTTCTCTATCAAAAAATCCTATCAAACTAATAAGAGCAATAGTAGCATGTTGTTATTCTGAGTTCCTACCAAGTGTAGTTCTGTCCTATGCCTTTGTAGTATTTCATATGATTATTATTATAATTTCATATAATTAACATTACTTCCTAGAAACAAACTGATAGAATTGATATTGGCTAGTGATAGAGCTAGGTAGGTAAGTAGTGACAGTTGATATTGCCTGATGTTAATTGGAGGTTGGATTTTTTTCAGCCAAGTGCTTATGCTTTTTACTATTATTGTATCTGAAAAGGAGTAGCCAATGCTACAAAAAGTTATTAATGTGATTGAATCAGCATTGTATCCATTGGAAATTATGTAGTGGATATTCTTCAGTTCTGTATGTAGTAATCATGTAATTTTGTATTCCTGCCCCTCCTTGTTTTACTCTCACTTCACCACCACCCCTCAAGACCTGCTATGAGGATGTATTACAGAATGCTTTGCTATCTTCAGTGTGAGGATAAAATTGTGCTTTGAATTTTTTATAGAAAATCTAAGACAACCTTTTGCAAAATTGTAATTTCTGAAGTATACTTTCCATCTATTAGATTCATTCAAAATACTTCAAAGATGCAGAATACATGGAGATCAGCGGGAGCAAGTGTTCTCTCAAATAGTGGGGGCATAACTGGAGTATTTGAATTGCCCATAAATACTGTTTCATCACAAGTGAAGGGTAGACTAAGAAGAATGATGGCATCAAGATGAAGTGATTTTTATCTTGTTCTTATAATAAAAGTGGTCCAGCTTTAATATAGCAGGTTTAACAGAACAGTGCCCTACAGATATTACTTAAGATTTTACAGCATTGCTTTGATGTTGTCTGACTGCCCTCTTCAGGAGGACAGTGAATATGTTAGTCTGCTTAACGTTAGTATCTGTTTCTAGAAATAACCGATCTAATGCCTAAATCTAAAGTTTGCAATTTTTTATAATTGCAAACTTTACCTGTTGAATAAGTGTGTTAAGTAGCAAGTTTTACTCAGTAAGAGTGAAAGTTGAGTTTTGTTGTGCTTCATAAGATCTATTCTTCAGGCATGTAAGAGGTGATAAAATTTCGGTTTAACTTTCTTTAATGGTGGATTTTTTTTTTCTCTTGCACAATATATTCCTTGATACAACACAACTCTGCTGGGGCTTTATGTAATGTATTTAATGCCTAAGGCTGATCTCAGTTATGAGGAGATGGGGAGGGTCTTATGATATCTGTGGTCCTATCATCCTCTTCCCCCTCTTTGCTGTCTCACAATATGTATTATGTGTGGTTTAGTGCAGAGTTTCTCTTGCAACAAACAGATTTTTGCATCTACAGCTTTTAAATAAACAGCATTCTGGACCATCAAACACATGGAACTGGTTTTATAGAAATACTGTTTTGAGAAAAGTGGCAGAATACATTTATTTATACTACTTCTGCATCTTACAACATGCAGAGATATGTTGCCAAGTGGTGGAAACTTGGTTTGGACTCTACAGCAGGTATAATTAATCAGTAATATGGAAATAATTAGCAAAGGAGCCTGTGCAAAGCCAAAAGTACTGCAAGGATCTTTTCAGGTTTGGTTTGTTTTTTTTTTTTCCTTTTCTGTTTTTGCTGGATTATTCATCGATACGGATTTGTCCTGTGGAAAAACATGTGGGTTTATGGTTCTGTGATTGTGTGTTTAAAGAATGTCTCTGCTGCTAAGGATTCCAGAATTATTCTTCTGGAATTACTTTTGTCCTTTCCTCTCTATGCAGACAGGGCAAACTTGTTAGTTTGGGGTTTCTTTGTCCCTTTTTAAATGAACTAATAAACAAAACCCAACTAGTAAATCCTGATATTGTATTCAAGGGCCACATAAGCATCCCCTTGCATGGATCTGTTAGCAGATTTGCACTCAGGCCACCCCTGTTTTCTGAGACTTTTAAATACAGAAAACATCAATTTTTGTTAACATCGTCTTGGGATGTCTCTCGTATAGTTTGGTTTAACACATTTCTAATTCTGGAGAAGGCAAGTTTGAAGCAAAGAGTTGCATAGCTCACTGAAACTGTTTTTAATTGATAGCATGGGTGTTGAGAATGATACTGCAGGTGTAATTTGTCTAACCACTGCAGCTGCTTATAGAATGTTTTTTTGCCAGCAAATGCCACATGGATGTACGTTTGTTTCTTTTCCTTAACAGGCAAGCTAATGAAGAATATCAAGTGCTGGCTAATTCATGGCGGTATTCATCTGCTTTTTCAAATAAACTGTTTTTCACAATAGTGGATTATGATGAAGGGGCAGATGTTTTTCAACAGGTAAATGTTGGATACTGTAAAACATTCTTAATTTTTAGAAGTACATGTTTATTTGCGAAATGATACAAGACAAATTATTTTCTGTGTGTAGATGTGTACCTCTGTTTCTTATATAAAGTCTTCCTGGTTATAAACACCAGGCACGTGTAAATGTTTCCGTGACATTAGCGAAGACCGATTACACAGGTAGCTGCTTCCACTATTTTCCAAGTGTAGTTTATAATGTTTGTTTATAGATTACATTATATATATATATGTGCAAATTTTTCTCCAACCCATTGTTAATGTCATTTTCTAGAATTAACTGGAATGCAGCTAACATTTGTATCTAAAGATTTCCTTTAGTTTTAGGGGAAAAAAAGCTCTTAACTAAAAAAGCCTTTTAATTGCTTTTATGTAATACAATGTTCTTCATCTCCAGTAATATTTGTATTAATCTGGAAGTTCTTCAGGGAAAGCAAGGAGACTGGTTTAGATTTTTTTAGATTTTATATATTGGCTATGAAGAGTGAAAAAATCAATTGTTGGAGAACATTCTAAGGCCCCCTCTTAAACTGAGTAGTAAGGCAAAATGTGTCCCTTGAAAATTAGTACTAAATACTGACATGCTTTTTTCTGCTAATCATCCATTGATTGAAGCTAAAAATGCAGATTAAGAGGAGTGACAAGTTTTGAAGTTCTCTGTTTAATATTTATTTTTAAAATACTTAATAGTTTAAAAAGTTTAATTACTGTGTTTAGTAAATATTTTTGCTTCCAATTGACATCTTAGAATGTGTTGCATAAAGAATGGTTATTAATGGCTTAAGATTTTGCTTTAAAAATTTTAGTTCAAAATCATCTTACATTATCCTACATGGTTACAATAGTACAAAATATGTTGTTTGATCTTGCCTTAAGCCAATCAATGCATATTAGAATAGTCCAGTCCAGGTTATTCCTTGTGCGAAAGGGCACAGATTCAGTTTATTTCAGGTAGTATGCGTTTAAAGTCGTGTAAAAGTTAGACCAAATTAGATAAAATTTGTAAGTTTTTTTTACTGTCTTGGAGAAATGCAGGGTTAAGAATAAGGGATACTAATGCCTATTTTAAGGTGGATTTAGGGGAAGTGTAGATCTGACCATATGTTTATACATGCAAACAGGTCATGAAATACTGATGCCATAGGAAAAAACCCACAAAATTAATGTGGCACTGATTTTTAGCTTTTACTGTTTATAGAGAAATAAACATATATAGTTGCAAACCAACTGCCTCCAAACTCTGTACAATGCCAGAAGGTTTCTGTATCTTACAAAATATTTTCTGAAACTATTTCATAACATTTGTCTTAGCCTTTCTTAGAATATTTTTATTTCCAAATCAGTTCACTAACAAAGGGGGCTATTTTTTGCTTTAGATGGAAAATATTTTAATAGTTGGCAATTTCTGATGATAATTCAGTTCTGTACTTGATTAAATATTATGTTTTGGTAATGCGATAAAATTCATTTTGCAGGAATGAAACAAGCAAGTTTACTCTGCATTTGTTATTTAAAGATTTCCATATTTCATCATCTTAAAGTATTTCCCCTGCTTTTGTTTATGTTAATTTTCAATTATTCAAATGTTTTATTGCACTATTTTTGAAGTGGATTGAATATGGAGGAATTTTATATAGCAAAATAATATTTTCCTATACATCCTTGCAAAGTTGAAGTCAAAATTTAAAGTGGCAAATACAAATGTAAATCTATTTGTTTATCACCTTTCAGGTTTTTGATATACCGTTTATACCTCCAGTGACATCAACACATAGATTAACAGTCATGTAATTTGCAGAGCAAGTTATGTAGTCTAAACTAGTTATCTAAGCCTTTCTGGGTTCAAAAAGGACTAGTCTGTCTTGAAGCCAGTGGAAATCTAGGTGAATAGTTTAGACTAGTTAACTTTGGACTCGTGGAAGCTAGCCAAGAGAAACAGTGTCAAGCTATTTGAACATTTTTTTTCCTCCCCTAGAGTTACAACCCAATATACTTTACTAGATTGGATGGGTGTGGGGTCTCTGTTCTACTAATTGCAGGAAAGTTCTTCCAGTGTGTGAGAAGTTTAAAGAATATGGTCTTACTCAGAAAACCTTGTGGGTGAAATACTCTGAATAATTAAACATCCAAAAGAATCTATGAAAGAAAATAGAAAGGAATATTCTGAGCACTCTTTTTGCAGGACTATACATGAAGATGTATTAAAGACTAACATATGGAGGCAAATAATATTTTTTCACGGTAATTAGACTTGTGTTGTCTTATATATAAAAGGTAAACATTTTTGAGAATAGAGTTACTAATTTTTTTTTCTGCTATTTTTCCTGGTTTTGTAGCTGAATATGAACTCTGCTCCGACTTTCATGCATTTTCCTCCAAAAGGTAAACCCAAGAGAGCTGACACATTTGACCTGCAGAGGATCGGATTTGCAGCTGAGCAGCTAGCTAAATGGATAGCTGACAGAACAGATGTTCATGTAAGTCTTTCGACAATTTAAAAAGTATCTTTGTAGTCTGAGACAGGCTGATGACAATTTCCATCTTTCCTTAATACGTTTTTTTCCCCCTCAAGTATAGGCTCTAGAACACATCAAAAAAAAAAAATAGCTGTGGTACTTGTGGTAACTTCTGAAGTTTGCAGATTATATTCCATTCTTGCTTTGTTAAATCCAGTCTTATTCTGGATGAAAACAAGCAGTGATAATTGTGGTAACTAGTTGTTAATAAGTAGAACATGCTTTGCAAAACTATATACAAAACAGATAGAACCAAAGGTAGCTGCTCCTATTTCAGACACAACCTGCAAATCTATTGAAGAAATAATGTTTTGGAGTTGAAAAGTTCAAAATGATACTTAAAACTTTTTTCCATATTATGCGCTTTTTAAAGGAAGTACTGTTTGATTTTTTTTTTTTTTTTTTTTAATAAGGATTGGTCTTTCTGACTATCAAACCAGATTTCAGATGCTCCCTGTTTGTTTATCTGGAAGGTGCTCTGTATGTATTTATTTATTTCCAATCTGTATTTGCATTTATTTTTTCCAGATTAGAGTGTTCAGGCCTCCTAACTATTCTGGTACGATTGCACTGGCTCTTCTGGTATCTCTTGTTGGTGGCTTGTTATATTTGCGAAGAAATAACTTAGAGTTCATCTACAACAAAACTGGCTGGGCCATGGCAGCTCTGGTATGCAGACTTTCCTCACTACTATGCTTTTTATTAGTTTCTTATCTTAGTATATGTGGCTTCATTACTTGCACAGTAAATCACAAAACATTGCATTGATACCTTGTTCAGAATGGTACTATCAGATGAAGATTCATAACCTAGATTTTGGGGCTAATTCTCATAAGCAGTGAGTATCAGTTACTAGGAGTGATTCATGGAAAATTAGCAAATTCTCTGATAGTTAGCTGCAGATTTTTGTTTGAACTTAAACAAGAAAATATTTCTAAGAAAAAGTGTTACTAATGTTCATTGCTATTGTTCAACTTGCCCTTTTTTGTAAAAGCAGTAATGTTATGCATGGATATTAGTGTCACACTGTATCACTTTAGAGTAATGAAAGGTTAAGAAAATTAACAAAGGCTTTTATAAGTTTGTAAGAAAATTGTAAAAAACCCTAAGAAACAAAGAAAAAAGTGGAATTCTTTCCAAAACTGGTTTCAGTAGTACTGACCTTAACATCCCACTGTTAACCTAAATGAGAATAGGATGATTGTATAGGGTTAACTCTGAGGAAATTCTAAAACTAGCCAATAGTCAATTTGGAATTGAGGTTTAATGTGCTTAATAGTGTATTGCAGTGTGTTTATTTACATTATGGTTTTCAAATCACTGAGTAGACTGGTAAAAAATGTGGACAGTGCCGCCTAGTCAGCTGTCTCAGTTTTCGTTAGGAAATAGCATGTAAGGATGGTAGATGACTGTTAAGATGTATCAATAACTACTTGTTACTAATTTAAGTTCTGCCATCATTGTGACTGACAGAAGAGAAAAATCTGAGAAGCAGCATCTGAGGCTTAATTTTCAGGGACGCTGAGTCGGGAGCATGGTTATCCACACTAGAACAGTGTCTAGGGTTATCAAGTCCAATCCAACATTTTACAGCTTAATAGAGCTCCTTCCTTCTGTATTAGCAATATATTAATTGAGAACAGTACTTTTTAAACATTTGGCCATGTATTTTGTACAATATAAGCCAAGATTTTCTTCTCTTTCCATGTAAATGGTTATTTACATTTTAAAGACTTTTTCTCAACTTGCGTCAATATGAATTACCCTTTCTTGAAAGCACATGGCTGGGTTTGTAGATGAATATGAGTTTACTTGGGCAGCAGCCATCATATTTTATTTGTCATCTAGGCTCCCTTTCCCACAAAAGCTTGGACGAGATGGTCTTTTGAGGTCCCTTCCACCTTGGGCTTTCCTATGATTCTGTGTATTTTAGCTCTGCTAGAAGTAGGTTACTGATATATCCTGTAATTGGTTTTGCCTTTGCAAAGCCACATCGTATTGATGGTTTGCTGTTCTGCTCTGATTCAACAATATGAGAAGATACTTTCTTTCGTGATGCTTTCAGCTGATGCGCCCATTGACAGATTTTATTACATCATTTCAAAGATGAAGGTATCTAGTACCAATTGGGCTCTAACTCATTTTTACACCTAAATGATTAACAAGATCTTAAAGCAAGCACTTTGTTCAGAGTGCCTTAATATTTGCTGTTACTCTTTAATAATGGCTACAGATAATGCTGTTTTCTCTCGTGCTATCATAGCATTTCCTGCTGGTGTACATGGCATATGTTCTTTGTTTAAGCAGTTTGTTAATCTACCCGGTACATTGAGGAAGGAAACTCTGCTGTAGCACAGAGTTTTGACAGTTCTTTTCCAAAGTAAGTCTCTCATATTTAGTTCCATGTATTTCTCTAGATTATCAGTATTTTTCAATGATAATGCTTTTTAAAGATGCACTACCACCAGAAAGCTCAAATTTGATATATATCAGTCTAACTTTTTTTTGGACTCCTAGAGATCACCTGAGGACAACAATAATTAGCACACCAAAATAGATGTTTGTGTCAAAAATCAAATAAAACTATGTAATCAGTGGTATTTCCTGTGTTTAACCATGCACTGTGTGTCTGGAGACAGCGATTTTATTCCAATTTCATACCTCAGGGTTCAAGTTAAGAAGTTTAATGTTTGAATGTTTTGCGGAATTGCTTTTTTTTGTCTTGCAGAGGTCAAAAATCAGTTCTGCAAATCAAGAACCATTCTATTACAATCCACATTCAATAAATCATGGAAGACACAATTATCTTCCTAATTAAATTAAGAAAATTAACACACAAATTGTTTCTTAAAATATTTGCTGTTCTCCTTAGCAGCACCTGGACACTTTACATCTGAATGTAACTGTAAATTGCAATGTAGAAAGCATCTAATCGCATTCAACTGAACCCCTGTGGACAGGGTCAATATCGAAATGTGATCAAACATTTTTAAGAAATAATATTAATGCCATTCAGTAGTTGTCATCCTGCTGATTGTATTGACAAGCAATAATAGAGTTAAAAGGAATTAAAATGACATTTGTTGTTGCTAATACTGTTTACTGTAAAATTATGTTTACTGTAAAATTATGTTTACTTTAAAAATGAATAGCACTTAGAGAATACTTTAGAAAAAGATCTTACATCTGAAAGTATATAGCAATCCCTTTTTTAGTAATTACTGTTCTTTTGCCTTCACAATGTTGTCAAAGCCCCATACTGCAAAATGATGTTTTAGCAAAGATCATGCAGCTACTAGAAGTCCTTTTGCTTTTATTCAGATCTATATGGACATAAAAGTTCATGTTCTGAGTTCTTTTTGATGGAATCAGGGGATTCCCAATTGCCGGCTTTTGCACAGATGACCTCAGTTCTGTAAAATGACTAGCATATGTCAAGATCCATACAAGAAAATGGACAGTCATTGATATATTCATTCTAAGGTACTGCGTAGTTATGATTGTCTTACACGGTGTTTTCTACCAGTAGAACTTAGAACTTCCTTTTTCATAAAAGCTCATTAAAAGGAAAAATGGAGAAGATGATGTCTAGTTAAGGGGAGCAAGTCATGCCTAATAAAATGCTTTTATGAAGTGTATAAATAACTAATAAATACTTCATTCTAAAGAATTATAGTCTTCATGAATATTTTTTCCTTTTTTGAACTCTAAAACCCAAATTAAACTGGGAAAGCCTGGCAAGATGCATAAAAACGTACAGGAAGCTCACGTTTTTTACAGTAGTATTGGCAATTCTTTTGTTCCTTATTGACAGTTCTTTTTACAGATGTTGGGGAACTGAGAAAACACAGGAGCTTTTTTCTGAAAGCTGTAGTTTGGGGGTTTGATTGGTTTTGGGGAGGTGTTGTACTGCTAGGTATCCAGCATTCACTAACCATATGGAAAATAACATTTTTAATTTCAACTGAAATGCTTTCATAGATATGCTGGAATTCAGTAGCTGAAAACTGTATTGTTGCAAACAGACAAGTCTCTTGGTTTTTTTCCCTATTTTTTCAGAGCTGCTTAGTTCGTTTTGAAGAGCTTTTATGCTCCCAGATGTTGGATATTTTTTTTTAATTAAAAATGGGCGGTATGTCTCTGCCTCATTGAATCATCTGTTCCTAAAAATTAGAAAAAAATTACCTGCATAAAGTGCCTCTGCTGTTTTTAATAGCAGGAGAACAGAGGATCTCAGAAATGTGGACTGAATTTTTATTTGATAACTTCATTGATATCAAAAAGTTGTGTCTCATGGGTGTTATTTCCAGTACTGTTTTAAGAGAATGTTTAGGAATGTTGTTTTTAGTGATCCATCTCATGGTTTTGATAGACTTTAAGAAGCAAGACCAGAGCTTTCATCTCACACATTGATTCCAATGCCAATTCACTCAAGACTGTTGAATTGGTTTTGTCCTCAACATTAGAGTGCACAACAGCAATGCCATTAATGGTTTCATCCTCTCGTTGGAGCACTGCAAACTCTGGTGGTATCTCATCTGCCTTAGGCATTTTTACTTGCAACGTTACCCAGAACACTTTTAAAATGGCAAACCGTGTTGATTGAGTCACAGCACATGGTATCCCAAAAGATGTCTTTTGAGATCACATCTAAAATGTATCCCCTAGTTTATTTTAGACTTTAATTCAAATCCTACTATTCATCGATGGATATTTTCCCCTCTGACATGCTAGCACAAAGCTGAGGAAGGACTTCAGTCCTTAGATATTTGCAGAGTCCTGTCCTTTTGTACTGATAAGAAGAAGCAATTCAGATTCTTGTCAAGACTCTTCATTTCTGAAGCAGAGAGGAAAAAAGGTCAGATGCTATAAACTGGGCAAACTTCTAACGTTTTAGATAAGGAATTGCTGCATTTTAGACAACAGTTCTGGTGCTGAGAGTTTGTTTGTTCAGTTTGCTAGAATGTGGGCTACAAGGGGGCTTTTTAAAACATTTTCTTTACCAGGATGCTACTGTGGTTTTCTTCATGTAATTTTCAGTTTGATTTTATGTGTATATTTCAAACTTGCCTGTAAACCTGTGGAATCTGGGAAGGCAAAATCTGTGCTCAGATTCCAAGGCAGCTGCCTAGGAGTTGACTCTATTGGGGCAAAATACGTAAAGTCACTTGAATTAGGAGACAAAGCATGTGTTTACTGTTGTTGTAACAGTTAATGGTTATGAGAAGTGTGTTCTGTGCTGATACGCTCCACAGTACCTATACCATACAGTACATTCATCATCAGTTATTGCTCCAAAAGAGCTTGAAGGGTATCATGGCTACTGGTGGCTTTTTTACCCCCTTCTGGGATTGAGGATAAAAATGTAATGTGTTTTATTCAAAGATACAGCTGGAAAAAGTCAGGCTCCTCTACACGGGTAGATAGGCATCTCAAAAGAACAGCAATAAATGCAAGTTATTAATTTCCTTTTCTTCCCATAGTTAGAGATTTTAGAGACGCCCTGTACCTTTTAAAGATAGAGAAACCCATTTTCTTTGCTTGTGTGTTGTAGTCCCCGTCCTTGAATTGTATATCTGTTATTGGAGATTCTAATAAGTGACAGATTGTTATTTAGAAATTGAGTACAGATCTTGCAGCTCTGTAGCCTTTGTTGAGTACAAAAGCAAAGTTAAACTGGATAAAATTACATTTCTTTAAAACAATAATTGTAAAATGGCTAAAACTAACATATACAGAACAGTATAGAAATTAGGTACAGAACTGGCTGCCTGTGTCTCCCTTTTTTTGAAATGATGCTTGTATTTAACTATATTCATAAATGAATCTAGAATTTCATTATTTTTCTTATGTTGCAAAGTATTTGTCATGTTCTGGGGTCTAAACTTGCAGAGAGAAATCTAATGATCTGTTTTGTATAGTATCTGCTAGGAGGAAGCTTCACTTCAACATGCGTACCAAATGGCTTTTTAAGTCCCTAGTAATTTGAATAAACTGGCAGATAGTGTTAAACAAAACTTACGCCTTTGAGAAAGCAATGTATTAAACCAAAGTCATTTGACAAAGCTTGCAAGACCAAGAACAGTCAAGAAATTCTGCGCAGGTACCTGTAAAGTTGTGTCTTGCTAGCAGTTCAGCGTTCTGGTGGGACTCTTGGTGCTTATTAGCTTTGTGACTCTTCTTGGGAGCCTTGTGATGTACACACAAGTGCACCATGGGTGAGCTCAAAGCAGTTTCCCTCTTAGTGAAACTAAGGCTGAAGTCATGCACTCTGAAGCCATCAAGAAAGCACCACTTGCAATTTGTTAACGAAGTCCTTGAGCAATCTTGTCTACGTATACAGTGTACTCGCCTAGGACTGGTAATAGAAGTGAACTTTATCACCACTAAAGACGTGCTGTGGACATTTGGTCCTGGAACCATAATGTATTGTAGCAAATTTGTCCTTCCCTCTCTGTACTACACCAGTCAATAATGTAGATCTACTCTGTTTGCTTTTATCATTTGGATGCAGAATAAGCTACCTAAATCTGGAAGCTCTTGAAATAGCTAAACCCTGAACTCCCCTGCTAATTCAGGTGGCATGCAGCAGTTAAAGTGTTCTTCTTGGAGTCTGACAAGGAGAAAGAAGGGAGCAGGTGGATGAAAGGGGTGTCCTTGGTAAGGGGGTGAAATCTTCTCATGGTGCTCTTCTCTGTAAAACTGCTGAAGTACAGACTCTACTCTGGATAAGTGGAGTTGAAAAATCTAACTGCTCAAAGTGCCTCAGCTTGAATCTTCTCTTCTCCTGTTTTTATCCTTTGTGCTTCAACAAGATCTGAGAAAACTGTGGAAAAGGGCCAGTTCTCTGCTTATGAATTATTCCATTGAAATAAATACAGTATAAACCTGTAAGGTAACTATGAAGTCATTAATCACATATTACAAGTTGCTTATTCGTAGGAATGAATTTGGCAAAGTTTTATTCTAGGAAACACCAGCTGACAATAATAGTGAGTGAACTAAGTGTTTTGGAAATTTTGGATCCCGAAGTTTGGGATCCTATGGAAACTGTGGGGTTTGGAATGGTAAGCGTTGTGTATTAGTGTGATGTATCACATATCATAGATGCGTGCATCTGTTCTACAAATAATGGTGTGTATTTCAAGTGTAATTTACAAACAGATAGAAGTCTGTACTTTCCAATGTTTGGTTTGTTGGTTTTTTTTTTTTTTTTACCCAGACAATTTGTAATAGGAGATCACAGCAAAATGAGCTTGAATGTCATGCTGTCTGTAGCATACCAAATGCTTGCTTGAGGGGATATCATAGAAATGCTCTCTTCTTAGGATACTTAAAGTAGTTGAAGAAGAGTGGAAGAGAACAAGGGAGAAGCTGGAGAATGTATTTTGGCCCCTGAAAAGGTCATTTTGAAATAGTAAAGAGGCGTGTATGATGGAAAGAAATCATGGCAGATCCAGGATGTGGTGTAATAAATTAGTTTTCTTGGTCACTAAGAGTCTGGAAGAAGACGAAAGATGCCTTCAGGATAAACAACCATATTGTTAACTCCTTCCTTTTCAATGAGATTAATACTTGGAATTTGTTTCTCCCCACTATTGTAACTCCTACATATTTTTTTTAAGATGTTACCATGTTGTGAGACAGTGTATTTGTATTGTCAAGCATTAAGGATCTTCAGTAATTTGAGAAATTCATAAAGTATATGACCGTATATAAACTGGGGTGGGTTTTTTTAATCTTTCCATATGGAAGCAGACTTGGCCCTAGAGAATGTAAATTAAATACAGTAATTTGAGTAAAATGACTTGTCATAGAAAACTCACTTTCAGAGAGCCACAGCTGTGCACTCTATGCGTCTGTTCTCTTTTGATGTTTTACTTTTCAGCTAATGTTTGGCCTTTCAAAATATCTCTTTCACCTCACTTTTGTTACCACACTTTCAGTTTCTATACTTTTGTACTTTCGCATAAGCATCTCCTGTGTGATTCATCACCAAAATTGTAATACAAATTTCTCTGCTAAAACAATCTGCAAGGTATTGAAATAACTACCTCTTACTCTCTTCCAGTAAGGAAAACATGTACACTCTTCATTTCTTGGCATATTATTAATTAAAACATAATCCATTTGCTAATAATCACTGCCAGTATGCTTTCATATGCCATATTAATTACTATACTGTTACATTCCGAATCCTGTTAAGGGCAAAATAAAACACACCTTATATTTAAAGCCAAGAATCTGTTCTTAGTGTAATTGAAATCTTAACACTACAACAAAGAATTATTATTAAACCAGATACAAAAAAGGGTTTTTTTCATTATTTTCATTTTCTTTCTATTACAAGGACAAAAAAATCTCAATAATAACAACACAATTAAAATTGTTATGAACACACTTCCTAGTATCTTTCCCTTTCTCTGATATGGTTACTCTTCCGCTGTTTCTGTTTGGGTCTTGAGATCGTTCATTGGCTTCTGTTTGGGGCAAGGGGGTGCTATGATGAGTTGTCAGCGTTTCAGGTTCTTTGCTGGGAGGAGTATGATGCTGGTGCTTTCTTCCTCTTTGCTCCAGGGTCCACGTGGGGCTACTTTTACACTTTGTCCTTCCTTCACTGATCTGCAACTACATTTTACATCAAATTTTACTGGATAAATGGGGATTGTCTTACATATGTTGGGTACTTGTCCTTTCTTCTCTTGTTACCCCTAAAACTGGTTTTGACCACCTCCCATTTCTGTATTTCTTTACTTCGCATAATATTTATAGGCTTGGGGTCTCCAGTATAATCCTGTGCCCCTTGTTTTGTCATTCCATACTGGTACACTGCATCCTATGTTTCCACTTTTGTTGTCTGCTATCGTCCCATGCCTGCACTACATCATTATGTTGGTCATACTTATTTCATCCTAAATAGAATAGAAAAAAAATACAAAAAACATACAAAGATAAGCAAAAGTAATGTCAATTAGGCATAGCCGCATGGTCTTTGGAAAAATTACTGTTTCAGCTAAAAAAGTTAAAAAAAAAAATTTAAAAAAAGCCAGGAAAGCCAGGACAGATTTGGATAAAGCCTGACAAGATTCAGTGCTAGGCCTTTCAAAGTTTGTTCAAATCATATTGCTAGAGGCGGCAATTTATTTCACAAACGTGTTACTAAACATTCTTTAAGGAAAACCCTTTAGAGGGTTTTAATAAACCCAGGTTTAGTTAACCATCATGGTATGAATTTTTACATTCGTGATTCATCTACTTAAATTACTATGGCTATACTATGCTAGTGGGAATATTGATATGCTCAAAAATGAGCATATATGTAGCAACTGCACTTAAATTATCTTGGAGTTTTTGTAAGGATTATCTGTACTGATAAGTCAGACATATTCACATGATCCAAGTTTCCATTTCTGTTTTTCTCAATTGGTAATCAAAAGATACTATATTTTCATCTTTAAGGTAGTCATAATGACTCTTCCTATGACTATGGAGTTTGTCGTGTAGATTCTGCAGTATGACTTTCTGCAAGAATTACTGTCTGTTTTTACAGTTTTCATATATTCCTAACCTAACTCCACACTTGTTTCCATAGGGAATTTCACTTTTCTACCAGTTCAACCATTGTTATTTGTCATAGCTAAAATGAATCACAGTCATTTAAGACACACAATGAGAATTTCATAAATTGGGACAGACATTTTGTTGATAATTGGATTTTTTTTTCTTATGGCTTTATATATCATTTTGTACACGTGAAAGCAAACAGTTAAGCTAAACATTTATATTAGAGGCAGAAATAACTTCATGAAAGGTTACATAAATCTCGACCACTAGTTTGCAGAATATTTGAAATTAATGACTCCTGTGCTACGAGTGCATTTTGCCGTATAGATGTGTAAATGTGGCAATTTCAAGTGCGTATAAAGACAGGATTATTTCAAGTGAGATTTTGAAAATCTCTGTCTTGAGCTAATTCATTTTGTAACAGAAGTCATTAAGAATTTTATGAAAGCAACACAGCTGAAAACCCTATTGTAAAAATCAAATAGAGGTAGGTACTGTGTCTAGTTAGGTAAACAATTATGTATCTAAAACAAACATCACCAGCAGAATGGTTTTCTATTCAATTCTTCTGGATAAATAAATGAGTATATTGTTTTCTGTTTTTTTCTAGTGTGTTGTATTTGCTATGACATCTGGTCAGATGTGGAATCACATCCGTGGACCCCCATATGCACATAAAAATCCTCAGAATGGACAAGTGGTGAGTTGATTCTTTCAATTGTATTTTGAGGGGAAATATTACAGACACACACACACACACATATATATATATAGTTACTCCCTACAGTAATTATTGCAGTGCCATAGCACTGTATGACAGTGTGCTAGAGTCTTAAGTCTGCAGTTGCAAGCAGAGTCTGTGTGGAATTTCAGATGTTTAGAAAATTCCACCATCTTTGATTTGAGCAATGAAATGAATGGTCGTGTTTTTCAAAACTCTATCAGGCTCCCAGCTGTAGTGAATGTGTTATAAAACGTTCCATACCACACAATTTCCGCTGTCCAAAGATAAATGAATATTGTGTCTTTTTGTAGAAACATGCTCCTTCACGAAGTGAAAAGCAAGGTTTTTTTTTTTTTGTTTGGGGTTTTTTTTCAGGGGTGGGCCTCATTTACACAAACCTTTGAGATTTGTAACCTCTTTTCTTCTTTCTTGAGCATTTTAGTTAGAAAAGGAGATAGCAAATATTTTCATGTGCTTTATATTTTTCATGTGCTTTTTTTCCATCATGCCTGTAATATTTCCACTGAACTTTACAGAATGCTTTTTCCTATATCTCTTTACTCCTTCGATTTAAATTCTTTATCAGCTTTACAAGAAGTTACCACTATTTGATTACTGCCAAAATTACTGTTATATCCTGTTACTGCTGTCTTTGAAGGAATTCTCTTACTTGCTCCTTCCTGCTCACAAATTAGCAAACATTCATCCGAGTTCAGGAGAAATTCTCTTTGCCAACTGGGAAGGTAAAAAAGGACCTTGGCTAGTTTCTACCACTCTTGGTTGTTTACCACTTTTCAAGCAAGTTGTTGGGATGGAATCGATGAATCTTGCAGTAAACTTAGTGGTCAGGAAGCTTTTTGAGGACTAGTGGCCTGTCAAGCTATTTTCAGCTTTGACCAGCACTGGTTAAAGGAGGCTGGCGTGTGTCTTAAAGAAAAAAGAAAAATTATTCAAAGCTCCCTTTGTGTCATATCTGCATTGGAGTAGCAAAAAAATGATGGTTTGAATTTGAGTACCGATTTGCTTTGTATCAGAAATGTAGCAGCATGTTGATGTCATAAAATGACATGATTCCATCTGTCAACTTTGTTATGCAGAAGTAGAACTGATAATGTAATAAATAATCTCTGTAAAACACTGTGTTTGTAAAAATTTAGAGTTTTTCATTACTGTCTTACAGTATTAAATTTATGATGCTTTCCTACAGAGTGACAGAAAGGAGAAATACTGCATAGAAAAAGCACTGTTTGTGACAAATTAGTTTTTACCATACCTAGTTTTATCCATGTTGCCCTTCTTAAAGACCTGTTTCTGAAATATAGGCTACATTAAATCATTAAAAAATATCTCTCTAATTGTTCCTGAATTTATGCCATCTTGTCTCAGTTTTCAGACTGTGAACTCCTCGTATCCTATCTGAGTGTCTGAAAAACTGCTAGTTTGGGAGTGTTAACATACACAACTAAATAATGAAAATGATGGTAGAGATGGTTTTAAGTTCTAGTTACTAATCTACTGTACACACATACCTTCTTTTCTGGTTTTGCTCCATTATATGACTTCAGGTAAGCTATTTTGTGCCTCTGATGCACCTGTCTCTCCTTGTTCATATGTGTCAGTACTTTCACCTCCTTGGAATTATGTCTGTGTCACTAAGTAAAACAAATCAGATTCTAAGAATTAAAAAAAGTATAGATGCAGGATCATCAAGCTCCTGATTTATATAAGGTACTGACTGCTATAGTTCTAACTTAAAGCTCTGGTTTTTACCACTGTTAGAAGCTTAATAAGTATTCTGTAAACCTTTACCTATTTTACATTGCATTTTTTTCCAAATAACATTACTGAACATTTTTCCGTTTCATTTTTCTAGCACTTATCTATGTTCCTGTGAATTTGAAGTCATAAAAGTGCTTATCTAACACTTCTGTGAGATTTATTCAGCCATGATAATTCACTGTAACACTGTTCTGCATTAAGTTAGCAACTGCTGTCTTTACTTCTGGATGAAATTTAACTCATCACTTTCTTTCCAATGTCTAGGATTTAGTACCAATTCTAAATGTCCATGCTAATTTTGTGCAAGAATTACTCTGAACCATTGTTAACAGTCTTACCAATGTAAAATTCTGTTTTTAAGAGGAAGCATAGAATAGCTCACCAAGCTTAGTTGTTTTATTGTTAGGTTCAAATTTACTAGTTATTAGCTTTTCTTAATTCATAGGAGTTAGCAGTTCAGTTCTGTACTAGCTGTAGAGCCTGATATGCCACCAGGCTTTGAAAGTGATAATATTCTGTCTTCATAAACTGTTCCTTACTTCCAATATCTCCTATTATTTGCTTTGTTCTTGTCATAATTTTAGATGACACATTTTTCTTCCTTAAATTCCTATTTTTTTCAAAAGATGAAAAGACATTTTTTGCTTTGCTTAAACAGCACTACTTACTAGTGCCAGTATCTTGTAAAAGGAACATTACCTGTTCTTAATTTTTTTTTGCTTGTGCATTTATGCTTCTTTGTTTGATTACCTGAATTACTTTAATTCTATGATTGTATTCTTTGAATTAAGCTTTTAAACCATATTTTTGTAATTCTGTGTGGGTCTATTCTGTGAAGTTGATGTGCTCTCTTATTGAGGTTGTTGCAGTTACTTCCTTTATTCTCCATTGCCATCAGCTAATTTCAGTTTTTGGGTCCACATGAAAGCAGGATCAATTTTTCTGTAGAAAGCTGAATCACACAGTACTGTTGCTTGATATTTCAGTTCTAGTTTAGGTTGATGCAACTGGTGCTAGTCTTCTATCTTGACAACGTTTTTTTATCTCTGTTGTGTTTTTGGAGTTGTTCATCTTCTGCCTAATAATTTTGTTAGGATTAGCCCCTTACTGACTGTGTGACACTAAAACCTGTACCTATTTTACTGGAGTTGAGAGTGAAAACTAAACATCTCATTGGTGTCTGTATATAAACAGTCTTGGGAGAGTCCTTATTTTTATTCAGAGCTTGATCTGTAGAGAGCTGGAGAAAGCAATTACATATTTTTGAGCCTCCTGCAGAGGTGCTTCTGTTGCTGTTTAATTGACCTAATAGCAAAGAATTCTCATTAGATTTTCATCAAGTTTTAATCGAATAGCAGCAATGGCTAAGAAAGCATTTATGTATGTCTATCCAGGGTTAGCAGCCATTTTTTTGATTTGGATACAAATTCTACAGTTTTTATTGTGCAGTATGCACAAGACTACATCGTTAAAATGATTGAAAGTTTGCTTTAAATGAGAACAGGGCAAAGGACAAACTTGATCTGAAATACTGAATTTCAAGGCTCACAATTTTCTTTCCTTTTCTGAGAAAAAAATTATTAGAAATTGGAAAAGTTTCTCTGTGAAGAGAGAAATATGATATTTTTATTGTCAGAATTAGATGTTTTTCCTACCTAAGGTGATGCTTTGTGAAATGGGTAATGGTATTTGCCACTATATTAACTGGATTTTTTTTTTACATATCTTTATACTTTAAAAGCTTGTTAAAATTGCTTAAGCATAACACAAATTATGTCCTTAGGAAGGAATTTATAACTGTTTAGCAGATCTTTTAGATAGAACACTTTGCAATATCAGATCAAATATAAATATTTGTTGAATTGTGGAGTTTATTCAGCCTTTTTTTTTTTCCTACTTACCTTTCAGAGTTTTATAACCACTGATCTTTATTCGGGAACAGTCTCTAAAGTACCACTTTTCAAATGGTCTAGCAGATACGAGTATCTGGTAATCTGTATGTTTCTGAAGTTAAATGAAAAATATGTTTGACTACTATTATTCATTTTTGCATTTATCCATGTAAAATTAAGGTATCCTGAAAATTTTATGCTTAGAATATCGATATTATTAATTCACATTAGTCCTCTACTGCTAAGAAGGACAAAATGTCATTTATTAAAGTATATTCTTCTGTGGTTTTTGACATGACTTTTTCATGTGAGTCTAATTAAAATAAATGGAACTTTCTTGGAATGGTTTTAAAGAATGACTCTCCCTTTCAAGCTCAGTAAGTCACAGTAAATACATAGTCCTTTTGCCTTCAGTGTGTCTGGAAGCATGTTTGAAGTACTGTTCACCAAGATTGTGTTTGTAATGCCCCACTTTTCTGAAAGTGGCTAGATTGCTTGGTAGTAGTTTCAATATATAAAAAAGTCACTTTCCTATGTGATATATTGTTATGTATGTCTTGCTTTTGGATAAAAAAAGTTCATACAGATAATTATATCCTTGTCTAACATAAGATATCCAGATTGGCATCAGTAGTACCACAGCAATATTTCGGTGCATCTATCGACAATAATCACAACCACAGTGCTATTGAAAATACTTCTTACTGTTTTATTGGAATAGCCAATTATTTATGTTAATACGCTTGATAGAAAGGAGAAGTAGGTTATTCATGTTATGAGTGTATTTAATGAAACAGCTTTCCTGTGGTCATCAAAGCAGTGAGTCTATTCAGAAACTGCAATTAGTAATGGGTTTCTCAAGCCTTTAATTTAAACGTCTATCTTGATTTAGTCAAAAAAAGAATCTATAATCGGCAGTGTAAGATGTAAAACTAGTATAAAACAATCTTAATTCTGTTAACAGACCAACACATTAACAAATGGGCAACATCATATCTAAACTAGTGTTGGGAAAACTATTAACCTGTATAAGAAATCTGTCCTAATTTTTGAGATTGCAAGTGTGATTGTAGCTGGCATTTCAATAGCTTTCTGTATAACACGTTTTTACCTTGCTATTAGAAAAGGGAAACCTTACACAATATTTTGTACCCTTTTTTATTGGGAGGAGGGGGAAAAAGGAGGTAGGAAAATGGTCATGACAGAAGGGTTGCTCAGATGAGGCATTGGAACCTCTAAATTCTTAAATTCTGATTGCTGTAAAAGTTCAGATAGTGCCATTGTATTGCGAGTACTGTAGTTTTG